GGCGCTATTTCGACCGCCTCGCCGCCGGTGCGACCACCGACGTGCCTGAGGCGCATTCGGGTAAGTTGAGGTCCCGGGCGCTATTCCGACCGCCTGTCCGCCGGTGCGACCACCGACGTGCCTGAGGCGCATTCGGGTAAGTTGAGAAAGTTTACTTTAACGTTCTCGTGTTGGTCACCGCTGTCGTGCCAGGAAGATGAGTGCTGCTCATCTTGCCTCGGTGGGTTAGGCAGTCTCCGCGATTTTGGTAAAACCGCCCCTTTTCAGGCGGATTTTACCTTCATCCGCGTTGGGTGATTCCAGCCTTTATAGGCGAGATTGGTCTCTATTAGACGAGAGTGAACTCGTCTTCTGACAGGCGAGTTCGATTTTCGTCTAATAAAGGCTAACGTGTCCTGTGTAAGCGGGCCTCGTCATGTCTGGCAAATTTCGCTTCTTGACAAGCGGATCTGCATCTGCCTCCTGATTTTTCTTGACTCTATTTTGCAGTGACCTCTTCTGACCGAGCCCTCCCAAAGGGCGTGGCCACTGGCTTCACTGGAGGTGAAGGTAATCCGGTGCCTCCTCGATTTCCTTCCTTGGGTCCAGTGCCCGTGTTCTTTGCCGATAAGCCGGTTGGCTCGACAAGGAGAGTCGCCGATGGGTATCACTTAACGCTACGTGAGTTAACCACCGACGCGGCGTTGACAGACGAGGATAGGGCAGAGTTGCCGAAGCCTCAGTTCTTGTTCGGTGATTCTGTCACTGATCCCTCTGCTCTGGTGCTCAAGGAGAGCAGATGGTTGCGCACAGTGGAGGGGATTCACTATTACCTTCCCGCCATGCCGAGGGGATTCTCGATCGTCGAGCTACGGTCTCTCGCGGTCCCTCGAGTGATGAACTAGGACTTGACCCCTACTCAGGACGGGGTCACCTGTGGCGTCTTTACAGGCTCCACGGCGGGATATGGGGTGGAGGGCTCATGTAAGCGCGTGACGGGTCTGCGCCCTAGCTTATTGTCCAATGGGCCGTCTGTAGGGGAGTCGACGGTGGTAGCGGAGACCTTCCGTCATTGCTTCTTCCGGGTAGGTATTCTGCGTCGGGCAGCGATACTTGGTGGTCCAAGATTACTGACTGCATCCTAGCCGAGAATTCTGACCTCAAGAATTCGGAGCTGTATGCGGCCATTCAAGCCACCCGACATGGCTTGAGGATTAATGCCTCTCAGTTCCACAGCATCCTAGAACTGTACTGTGCAGAGAGCGGCGCCTTCTTCACCCCTAATGGCGAACTCGGTATATCCCCTCACGAGATGTATGACGTGTCAGGGCTACCTTTGGGGGACTTTCCTTACGAGGAGTACGTCCCAGACCAAGATGAGATCGACCAGCTTTCCGACTGTTCCCCCTTGGTAGTGGAAACTCTGTGGGAGTTACTCTGCCATTATCACATCTGCCTTAGCACTTTAGGGGCTAGGGATCACAAGGGGAAGAAGAAGAGAACCCCGGGAATTAGTCACAAGAATTGGGCTGACTATCTGTTCCCAGGGAACGACGTCAAAGGGAAACCTGCTCTTCCTCTGGGCGGGTGCGACCAATCTGAAGTGGAAAGGAGGATGGCTGAAGAGGAAGCCACTATGATTCTCGATCATGACGAAGGCGGGTTCAAATCTGGAACGGTCTTCCATTCGTTTCACCACCAGGCCATGTCCCCTATCTCTGGGAAGGCTCTGTTCGCGGGGTACCTCATGTTGTGGCTGAAGAGGTGCGTGGTCCCCACTCATTCCTTCAAAGCGATCCCGGTGGAGGTGGTGTATCCCGCGGTCTGCTTAGCCCACGGGAAATCTTACTCTTTGGTGTCGGCGACGATAGCGTGTATCCATCGAGGACTCCGCACGTTGACGGCCCAGTTCTGCCGTGTGTCGACTGTGTTCGTTCCGTTCCTTGAGCGTTTGGAGAGGTGCTCTTGGAAGTGTAAAGACATTCCCGATGCGTGGAAGACGCTCTCCCACTTTGTCCACTACAATTTTCGTCGCTTCTTCCCCTTCTTCAGCGGAGGAAGATACGGCGAGTCTTTTAGGGACGTGCCGACGGCGGACCACCACACAGCTCTCTCTCGTGGTGCTTTTCAATGGTTGGTGAATATTCGGCCGGGGTATCACATTCTACGCACAGGCTCTGTGTGCTATCTCGAGCCGTATATCCCCTGCAGGTTTGCCCGTCAGTTCGGGTATGACCAATTGTACGTGGGCAACGCCAATCCCCGCCTACACTTCGAAGGAGGACTGGTGGATGGAGCTCGGGGATGGTTCTGGACCCATGCTGGTGGTACCCAGGCTCGCTTCGAATTACCCGCGAAGGATCGTGATTTACACCACACGCTTCTATACTGCCGGTGGTATCGGGGTGCCAGCGCTACTCCCGCTGGTTTCTGGTTCCAGAGCGCATGTCTGCCGGAACGCAATCGTCCTGCTAGAGGGTCTCTCCGTTCTTCAAGGCGAAGGGGCCACCAAACTGCTAGGGAGCTGTACTCAGAAGATCCAGCGGAGGATCCCGAGAGCTTTGACGCTGGTTTAGACGAGTCCGAGGCACTCGAGGTTCGAGTCCCCTCTCTTGTTCCTCCGTTGGATGCCCCTGGTGAACCACGAGAGTCTGAACGCCCAAGATAGGTCTAGAGTCCGACAATTGGACAGATGGGGATGCCTCTTCTGTCTCCGAGTAGCTTGCTTCTCTCGAAGCGTCAGCGGGAGGCAGCGGCCGAGAGTTCCCGAGCGGAGGCGGCCAAGAAGGCCCGTGGTGATGAGACAGCAGAGACCGTCCGAGCGGCGGAAGGTCAGGATAATGTTCCCCAGGTAGGCGCCCCCGGAGCGGCGACGTCTGGGTCTGGAGCTACGCTGCCCGCCTCTTCTGCTGCATCGGGGGCGGTTCCGGCGACTTCGAAAGACGCTCCTCCGAAATCTGGCGTGAGGCCACAGACGGGAGTCCCAGCGGCTTCTGCGTCCGCATCTGGAGGTAATCTTTGCAATAGTGTCTTTGATGGCAATGTTGATCTCATACCTTTTGACATTGGCATCGGACCTATGCAGGTGCGGTTGAGAAAGTGATCTCGATTCCTTCAGACGAAGAAGAAGAGGCTGGAGATGAAGAGGGGCTCACAGGCTCAGGTAAGCATAGGCTTTGGCATTACTCATTCTTTCATGCCCAACCGTAAATAGGGTCCCTTTCGAGGGGCCTCTGTTAACCCTCTTCGTGTATTTGTAGCTGATCCTACCCGTGAAGTCGCAGGTAAAGAGGATCCTCACTCTTGGGCGAATCGCTCATCTGGGGAGACGAGCGAATCTGAGGAGGATGACAATGTCTCGGTTCATGAGGCATTGTCCAGCGAGGAAGAGGATTTGGCTCCTGAGGATGCGCCTGGCCAAACAGGGGGATCTCCCGCTCCTGCGGAAGCGTCGGCTGGGGATCGTTCGTCGGTGCGAGAGTCTCCGCTTCAAAGGGAGGCTTCTACTCTGCAAGTGACCACTTCCCTGTCGACGGTGGCCGTTGATGTCGTGACTGCTGTTCCGAGGGCGTCATTGGTCACCCCGGCTTCGGTGGTGCCAATTACCACTCCTACGGTTATGGCTATAGGTACCTCGACCGTGATTTCATCCACGGCGGAGAAGGCCGCCCTCTCTCCCTTGGAACGCTGGCGAAAGACGCAGGTAGCGCGAGCTCTGGCCAATTTCGAAGATACTTTGGCCCACTGCACCCGGCTGGTCTTGGAGGAGAATTGTCCCTTCGAAGAATTTAAGGAAGTTCTAGAACACGATGCGTCCTTCTTGCGTAAGAGGCTCAGCGCTACCGCGGCGAGGCCCTACTTTCAGCTTCTGAACGAAGTGGAGGGGGCAGTTCGGCAGCTGCTCACTCTTCGTGCGGAAAGCTCCGCTCTTGTTGATCTCACCTCTCGCGAAGTTCGAGTAGCTATGGCAGATCGCGATCGCCGCCTGAATGAGAACATGACACTAGAGTTAAAGCTGTCAGCGGAGTCGGAGCAGGTCAAAGCTGAGGATGCACAAGTGGCCCGCGAGGAAGAAACGGTCGATAGCCAGTTCTCCTGACTCTCCTTCGAAATAGAGAGGCTGAAACAGGTTGTAGCTGACGCACAGGCTTCCCTGGTTGTTCAAGAGAAGGCTCGTGATCAGGTGGCAAAAGAGTTGGAGGGCATTAGGTCTCGCCGGCGATTGACCACTGACTCTGTTGAGGAGAAGGATCGAGCTCTCAAGGATGTCAGGGAGACCATTAAAGACTTGATCTCGTGCACAGAGGAAGATCTTCGTCGAGAGGTCCTAAGGAGGCTTGAGCTTCGCCATGCTGAAGAAATCCATGAGGCGGAACTTCGATTGAAAGCCTTGTAATTTTGCCTCTTTTCGTCCTGTCTGATTGCCAGTTGTACTAGGATCTCTTTCTATGAATGAAATTATCCTTTTGTTTTTGGTCTATTGTCACTTGTGTGTGTGCTCCATTTTTTTGCAATCATGCATTAGTCAGAATTTGACCGTAAGAGAACCTCATCTGCAGAGGAATTCTTGTCAGTGAGTTTCTGCTGCAAGATTATCTCATCTGCAGGCGAATTTTGTCCGCAGGCGGGTTTGCAGATGTCTTGACGGCGAATCTGGTCCTGACTGGGTTCCGCTTTCAGTGGGCCACGTGTCAATCCACGTGTACGCCAGTTAAGGAGACGTGGGCTAGCCGTTTCGCATTAAATGCGAAGTAGTGGGCCTCTTCGTCCCTCGCACCCGATTCGGGCCGTTGTTGCAGATCGTGGTCACAAACCGTCAGATCTTGTCCGTCCCAGGTAAATCCGATCTGTTTGGCCTTACCCTTCAACCTGCTTTAGCCTTGAACGGTCCAATCAAGTGTTGAGTAACCGTCCAGGACTCTTAGGGTATTTAACGCCCTTATCCTCTGTTAAGAGGATCTACAGGCTTTTCATCGTCTTCCCACAGGGTAAACTCAAATTTTCCCTCCCTTAGACCTCTGATGGCGCCAAAGGTGAAGAGGGTCGTTTCCAGAAAAAGGAAAGAGCTGTCTTCTTCAGGTGCTGCTGAGGTCACCGCGGCTGAAGGTATCTTCTTGCTTTGACTTTCGCGTGAGTTGAGTAGGTATTCTTCCCTTGACTCCTCTCTATGTTATTGTCATGTTTTACAGATCGAGGGGAAGCGCCGGTTGACGAGGAACATTCGGCCGAGCCTATCGCTGAGCCTATCTTGATTTTGGACGACGACGAGTCTGAGGGAGCTGAGCCCTGTCTCGAGATCCCACCCATCATGGCGCTCGCTCCAGGCCAAGAGCCTGCTCCCACCGAGTCCTTGTCCTGGCAAGCTCGCATCGAAGAGTTCGAGAGCGCTGTGAGGCAGGTGATTTCCCTTGTCGAACTCGGCATGGGCAGTTTCGCCAGCTTCAGGCAGTCCCTCTATGATCACGTGGCTGATTTACGGCGATCGGGTGAAAATCAGCTTGCTACTCGTTGCGTGCGTGAGCTCCGTCTCCTAGAGCCACGCATGATAGGGTTAGAGACCTTGCTACGGGGAGGTCCGGAGGCCAACATGGAGTCTTGCATGGCTCATGTCAGGCGTCAGGAAGCCCTGGAGCAGGAGACCCGTTCCAAAGAAATAGTGGATCTGGAGTCTGTCGCCAACTTTTGGGTGGGTCAACAACATTTGCTAGAGGAACAAATCATTAACCTCAATCGCACTATGGCTCGCCTGAGGGCCGAATTAGGACAGGCGGAGGCGAAGTGGAAGGGGCTCCAATCCGACGTTGTTAAGGTCAGTAAGAACGCTGAGGCGGAAACTCGACGCCTGCTAGCCTTGCGCGAGCTCTGCGAGCCGCAGTTGGTGATTTTCCTCGGCCATCATCCCTGTTGCTAGGGCGACGTGGAGGGATGGAATCTGAATCTCTAATGGCAATACAGCTTCACAGCCGTATACCAATGAGTAGGGCGTGGTGCCAGTCGGTGTGTGAACCGTCATGCGATATGCCCACAGGCTCTCACCTAGCTTTTCGTTCCAGTCGCGCTTGCTAGTGGAAGTCAGCTTGGTCAAGATCTTGATGATCGTTTTGTTGAAAGCTTTGGCCAAACCATTCGCTGAAGGGTTGTAGGCCGTGAAAGAGAGGTTCTGTATTTGGAATTTGTCACAGAACCTGGTGAACGCGTGGCTAACGAACTGCGTGCCATTGTCATGAATGATTCGTCGGGGTACGCCGTATCGGTATATGACATGGTGCTTGATGAATTTGATCACGTCGTTAGTCTTGACTTCTCTTAAGGGGATGACTTCGGCCCACTTAGAGAAGTAATCGGTGATTGCGAGGATGAAGCAATGGCCTTTCGCCGATGGTGGAGAAATTGGCCCAACTATGTCCATCCCCCATGCCTCGAAGGGCCAAGACGCCCTCGTCGGATGCAGATCCTCAGGAGGCTGGTGTATGTAATTGGCGTGGATTTGGCACTCGTAGCATCGCTTCGCATAAGCGACTGCGTCAGTAACCATCCCAGGCCAAAAGTAGCCTATCCTCCGCAGGCGATCCCATAGTTTGGGTCCAGGCTGATGAGCTCCACATGCGCCGTCATGGGCTTCGCGTAGGGCCTCTTGTGCCTCTGCCTTTGAAAGACAGCGAAGCAACAATCCGTCATATGACCTCCGATACAACATTTTAGTGGTTGAATCGTAGTAGAACCTCGAGGCACGTCGTCGGACGGACTCTCGTTCCTTCGAGTCCTTGGGCAATATGCCGTATAGGACATAATCGATGATCGGGAGACGCCAATCTTCCTGATCTGGCTGATCCGAGGCTTGATGAGTGGCGTTCGCCTCTGGGACGTCTCTGGGTCGAAAAAGTTTTCGGCTGGCGACAGCGACTCGTTGGGTCGTTCCCAAAGGCTGGGCTAAGTTAGCTGCCAAGGATGCGAGAGCATCCGCATGGGTGTTCTTTGAACGGAGCACGTGCTCAATGCGGAAACTCTCGAATAACTCCACTAGTCTGACGACCGCTTTGTGGAGTGGGACGAGATCATCATTCCTGACTTCATACTCGCCAGTCATTTGTTTGACGATGAGTTGGGAGTCGCTGTAAGCCTCCAGGTGCTCGATCCCGAGCTCCTTGGCCAACTCGAGCCCTATGAGCAACGCGTTGTACTCAGCTACGTTGTTGGTGCATGGTTCCGTCAAGGAAAAGGCCCGGGGTAACACGTGACCATGCGGAGAGGCGAGGACCACCCCCACTCCTGCAGAAATAGAGCCGCTCGCGCCTGCGCGAGATGCACCGTCGAAGGAGTTTCATCTGGCAGATCTTCGAATAGATCGGTCTTCACCCCTAGCGGGTGACTAGCCATGAGATCGCAGATGGCTTGTCCCTTGACTGATTTCTGCGGCATGAAGTGGATGTCGTATTGAGAGAGCAGAAGTGCCCACCTGGCCAGGCGCCAGTTTAACGTTGTAGGTTGTGTCATGAAGACCCGAATGGGATTCATCCGGGAGATGACATTGATGGTTTGGCCAACCAAGTAGTGCCGCATCTTTTGGATAGCAAACACCAAGGCTAGGCATTCCTTCTCGACCATTGGGTACCGTTGTTCGACGCCCTGCAAGGTTCTGCTCAGGTAGTAGATGCCTTGCTCGTGGCCTGCATCGTCGTTTTGAGCCAAGAGGGCACCTAGAGAGTGTTCCATGGCCCGTATATATATGAGGAATGGCCTCCCTGAGATTGGCGCCGCAAGGACAGGCGGATTTGAGAGATAAGCTTTGATCTCTTCAAAGGCCCTTTGGCATGGATCGTCCCAGACGAAGGAAGTACCTTTCTTCATCAGCTTAGAGAAGGGTTGACATTTGCCCGAGAGATTCTTCATCAGCTTAGAGAAGGGTTGACATTTGCCCGAGAGATTCGAGATGAATCTTCGGATATAAGCCAGTTGTCTTTGAAGGCCTCTTAGCTCTTTAAGATTTCGGGGCGGTTGGAGCTCTTGGATAGCTCGCACCTTGTCTGGATCAATCCGGATTCCTTTCATCGTGACGACGAAACCGAGGAATTTACCGCTAGACATCCCCAAGAAGGACTTAGTAGGATTCATCTTGAGCTGATGAGTCCTCATGAGTTCGAACATCGCCTTCAAGTCTTGGAGGTGATCCTCCTTGTGGCGACTCGTCACGACCAAGTCGTCTACATAGCATTCGACCGTCTTTCGCAGATGATCTCGAAAGATCATGCTCATGGCGTGCTGGTAAGTTGCGCCGGTGTTCTTGAGCCCGAAAGGCATGACGGTGTAACAGTACACCCCCATGGGAGTTCTGAACGCAGTGTGCTTCTCGTCCTCGGGGTGCATTTTGATTTGATTGTACCCCGAGAAGCCGTCCATGAAGGACATCCTCTCGAATCCGCACGTGTTGTCAATGATGACATCCGTGATGGGCAGAGGAAATTCGTCTTTAGGGCACGCGGCGTTGAGGTTCCTAAAGTCGATGCAGATGCGGATCTTGCCGTTCTTCTTCAAGACTGGGACAATATTCGCCATCCAGTCGGGGTGTTGCTCCTCTCTGATGAAGCCGGATTCGATCAGCTTCTTTACTTCAGATTCGATCGCCTCCATGATTTGGGGGCGAAACCGCCTCTGCTGTTGTTTGATTGGTTTGGCGTCAGGGCTGATGTTGAGGCGATATGTGGCGACCCGCGGATCCAGACCAGGCATGTCTTCGTAATTCCAGGCGAAAACGTCAATGTATTCCCGTATGAGGGCGATGAGATCCTCTTTTTCCTGAGGGGGCAGACTGCCGCTGATGAATATGGGCTTGGGATTCGCCTCAGTACCCATGTTCACCTGGAGGATTTCGTCTTCGGTTGGTGGTTCGCGCTGTTCGAAGCGACTGTTCCACTGGGCGTTAACATGGCGATCCCACGTTTCGTCATAGAGTGAAAGTTGTTCATCCTCCGCCATTTCGGCGGGATCCACCGTAGCCATGTTGACTGTAAGGCTATCGAAGAGATTCCTCACGCTGATGTCTGAGTCCTAAGCTGAGGTTGTTGACGATTGGGCCCCCGAACATGCATAGTCGGAGTCCTCATTGACGTAAAAACACAGATCTGACGAGGAGGAGGAGTAGCCTAAGCCTCTCCGAGTCCTGTTGAAGTAATTCGAGGGCTTTCCTTTGGGGACGTAGGCGGGTTTGATGACCGTCTTACGTCCTCGGCCGTAATTTAGGCCCTCCAAGCTGGTGAGGTCGTACCCCATATCACTCATCATTCATTTCGCAACTCGACTGTACTGCGAAAACTGGGGCGCCGGGTCCTCGTCCTCAGATTCATCCCATAGCGTGCGCAGGGGGTTATCGATCCGACCGAAAATAATATCTTTTCGATAATTGTTTCGGGCCGGTACGATGAACACAGCTTGCGATGATCTGATCGGCTGCGTCTTGGCGGCGTATGACGAGCATGCCGGCAAGTGTATGGAAGGCTCACTGTAGAGCTTCGACCATAGTTCATTTGGCGCATCATCTTCGGACGTGGAACAAGACGACAAATAAGCAAAGTCGGATTTCTCATTCACGATAAATTTTTTCGCCTGAACAGCGTTGGTTACATGGTGACTCTCGTAACCAATTACAATTGACTCAAAGTTATTCAGAATTAAGCTGTCACCGTATTCAGGCTCGCTATCCGCCTCGTTGCCGCTCTCTGGCTCCTCCGCTGGCGGGGCGTCGGGGTCCTGGTACAGCAGAGAGTCTGTGAAGTAGTTTTCGACGCCCTTGAAGGGCTGCTTGTCGGCCACTACTGTCCTGACTCGCTCATAGTTGTCCACATACTTCAAGCACTGGTGTAACGTGGACGGGACTATTCTATTGCCATGGATCCATGGGCGCCCTAGGAGTATGTTGTACGAGGGTTCGGCGTCGATGACGTAGCACGTCACCTCCGTCTTCATGTCGCCTATCCGACATTTCAGGCGGATTTTGCCGAGCGGCCGAGTCCCCGTGGCGTTAAAGCCCAAAAATCCACTTATCGACTCTCTTTAATAGAGCGATAAGTCCTCAAAATTGCTTCCATAGCAATATTCTTCTTGTCACGTTAACACTACACCTTTGACAAAAATCCACTTATCGACTCTCTTCAATAGAGCGATAAGTAGGGGTGCCAAACGGTTCGGATATATCCGAACCGATCCGCATCCGTATCCGAACGGATGCGGATATGGTAGGCTAATTTTAAAACCGGGCGGATACGGTAACGGATACGGATATGGTTTCGGATTTTTTTTCGGATACGGATTCGGTAACGGATAAGAGGGTTGCGGATACGGATATCCGCAATGTAATAGTGATTCGGGTAATCGGGTCCCAAATTTATAGTTACA